ACTCCACCAGGAGTGTTTAGTCTGCAAAACAGATCAACAAATTCGAAAAATATCGCTAAATATAGGATACCGGAACATTGAATTAAATCGTCAAATAAATAACATAGAATTTTAAAGCGTAATAATATTTACTAACAAGTACACAAAGAATAATTTTTAAAAAATAGTAGGTACAGGATAACAAATACTGTCGTTGTTTCGTGTTTGTCCGATACACCAAGTTCAAGGTTATAGTTTTTATTTCCAATTATAGAAGGACGAATATCAGCCGGTGATAATCATAATAAATTGTAAAATAGTTTTATTTCAACGAATACGTAGTTAAAAATATACGTAACTACCCTTCACATTTTCCCATTAAACTCTTTAATTCATGGAAGAAGAGAGTTTTTGTACGAAAAAATTATGCTTTTATACTTAAATCTATTTAAAACTAGCGAGCAAGAAATGGTGAAGGCGCTCGGTTAAAAGCATACTTATATTTACAGGGGTTTTCGACAATTTTCTTGAGTTTCTACACATAATAGGCAAACACCTTTCATTTGATATTCATTTTAATATTCGTTATTCGTTTTTAAGTTGCTTCTATACCGACAATAATAATAATACTTATCACATATCAAAAGCTCTTTACAAGTTACTAGTAATTAAATTAATATATCTGTTTGATCATAATGTGTAATTGAATGAAAAAGATAACCTATCCCAATTGGACTTCCTTCATTGATATTAAGGAAATTGAAAAATGCGCGTCAAATAAACGCTAAGAATATTGATATCATCTATATGAAAAAGTTACTGATACATACATACATCCATACATATAATAAAGTCTTTGGCAACGCTAAATTTTTAGGATACTTAGAGTTTAATACCATGATATAAAATATTTGAGCGATACATTTAAAAAATTAGTAGGTACTGTTTTAAATTACGCTGTGCTTATTAGTATTTCAGAGTATTAATTAATTATGTAATTAGTGTATTACCTATGTCTTTCAATAAATTGGAAAAATACTTACATATTTTTATCTGAGATTCAATTTTTTAATGGTGTAAGGATTAATAGATTAATACACTTTAAATTTGAATAAAAATATGGATTTATAGGTACAAAAAATTCCCATGAATTATTTATATTTAACTTTTTATTGATCTTGCCAAGTAATACTTGTCCAAATATTTATGTTTTTATTTTTTTTTTCT